TTACACCTCATATGTATGTGTATGTGTGTGTGTGTGTGTGTGTGTGTGTGCGTGTGTACTTGTACATGTGTTTCAGTAGAGATAAGGACCCCACGGTTCCTCACTTCCGTGGTATTTAATGACTCCAAACCCTCTCTACTGTGTGTGTAAATAAAAAATAAAAAATAATATATGTAAAATAAAAAAATAAAAAATATAAAAATATAAAAATATAAAATATAAAATAAAAAAATATAAAATATAAAAATATAAAAATATAAAAAATATAAAATAATTCTTCTGTACGGTGACAGCGAGAGTGAGCGGAGAGAGCCGACGAGAGAGAGAGCCAGCGCGTTGTACCGGCGCGACGACAGCAAGAGAGGGGGTCGCATCACCCATCGCTGTCATCAGACTCGGCATCTGCACATAGAAATATAATAATTTAATATTTTATATATATTTTTTGACATATTATATATATATATATATATATATATATACTCACGTCCTTGACAGGTGGGACAAGCGTTGGCCAGGTAGAACACGTATAGTCTTTCCTGGCAATCATCGCAACGCAGTTCGGGTACATTTATGTACCGCGATGTAGTGTGTCCCTCGATGGTTGTGATGCTCAGGAATCTGCCCCTGTTTCTCACGTAACAGCGAAAGCAGATCCTGACCGACCCCCATGGTGCGGCGAATGCCATGACATACGACGCCACAGTGCATACCCTCGCTGTCTCGTCGAGGGATGCAGTGGCGCGTATGCCATACATGCGGGACCTGCACGACTCCCGGACAGCGTTGTCAGTATCGTACCCATCGTCATCTTCATCTTCATCGTCATCGTCATCGTCATCGCCGTCTTCATCAATGGGTACGATATCGACCTCCATCTCCTCAATGTCATCCAGGACGTTGTTCGCCTCCCTGTCGTACACAGGATCGTACATCGCACCATCACTGTCGCTCTCGCTGTCGTCGTCGGAGATGGTTATGACCTCCATCTCGTCATCATCGGAGATCACCATCACTTCTTGCTCGCTTTTTTCCATTTTTTAATTTTAAAAACAATTCACTCACTCACTACTTCTATGATCGCCAGTGGTCACCGTACTATGACCCGGCAGTGACATCGGTCCTCATTATATATCCCGGTCATCCCTTTGTTCATGCAATGATGCAATTATCTCCGAAAGATGATCTCCGACGAAACAAAAATAGCGGCTGCTCAGTAGTTGTCTATCGACATGTTTACACCTTCCGCAAAGACATATCTACTCTCTCAGAACACGTTGATATCACATATGTTGTACACCTATTTTATCACAGAAAAGATAAATAGGCTGCCGACAATAAATCTGGCGATGATGATGATGATGATGACGGTTCTCTCCTATCTGACTCCTCCTCCATTTCTTGGTCAGAATCATTTTCGGATGATTGTGTTTTGCATGACACCGATGGTGAAGGCATGTCCATGTAGCCAAAATCATAGTTGTCCACAGTGAAATAATCGACACAATTTTTGTATCGACGTTGATAACATGCGACTCGCTTGTGTCGCTTAGACGTTCTGGTGCATTTAGATAAATCACCAGCCACTCTTACAATGTCTTCATGCGTTTCCAGGAACTGGGCTACACGTCTTGTATGCGGTTTTCGCACACCAAGTTCGCGATTTCGTACATATTGTACAATTGAAGTCGCCGCTTCACGTTTATTACAAAACGGCTTATCTTTTTTTTCATTGTGACAGCATACCTCGAGATGTCTATACCATCTCTCGGCAGTCTTATAACACCCCTTCTCAAAACACCTCGAATGATCTTTTACCGCGTTCTCCATTTTTTCGATGTCTATCACTTTTTTACACGTGTTACACTTGTAACCTCAGCCTATTTTCGCTGACATTCGCTGCAATCCCTGATCATCGGTGCTGGACCGTCAATATGCGTTCGCATCCACGGCCGATTGTAGTGTTCGAGGCAGCGACGATATGTCTGAACCTCCGGATCCGTCTTAATGTGCTCCGGCAATTTTTTCCCACAAATGCTCTACGAAATATCCGCACTTTTGCAGTAAAACAATCTTCGGAATATATTGTAACTGTTCGGCACTTAAACTGAGAATGTCGGGAGCACTTGATAGTATTACAAACATCTTGAATAAAGAGAGCGTGCGCTCGCCAGTGGTACTATGGCCCGGCAGCTGCATCGGTCCTCATTATATATCCCGATCATCCCTTTGTTCGTGGGATGATGATGCAATTGTTAATTCGCAAGAAATATTTGCGCTATCTTATCGGCAAACTTAGATATCGCTGATAATTCTTAGAAATTCATAGATAAATTTCACCTCGTCGGATTGACACGTCGCGCAAACATGTCGCAACCTGTATGGATCATGTATCAACCCGTTTGATTGTCGGCAAACCTTTTGTTCTTAATAATTCGCAGAATTATCTTATCTTGGATTTTCGGAGAAAATTTAGATATCGCTGTAATAGATATCTTATCTTGGATTTTCAGAGAAAACTTAAATATCCAATTGTCGGCGCTCAGCCTGGATTAAGAAACGGCGGCAACCATTCGTAGAATTTTTATCTTATCTTATCTGCAAACTTTGATACCTTACAAAGACGCCGCTTATCTTATCTTGTTTATGAAAACTTAGATACCGCTCAAGCTCATCTTATCTTGTTTATGAAAACTTAGATACCGCTCAAGCTTATCTTATCTTGTTTATGAAAACTTAGATATCGCTCAAAGACGCCGCTTATCTTATCTTATCTTGTTTATAAACATATCAGGTAACATGATCCCCTTATCAGGTAATATGATCCCCTTATCAGGTAATCTTATATGTTTATAAACAAAAGATAAGCTTATCTGCTGATAAGAGCTTCTCTCCCGCGTGACGTCACCCCCCTCGCCCCCGATTCCCCCCGCCCCGCACCCCCTTTCATTGCCCCTGGGTTAGAACCCCCCTAGTATTCCTACTCACATACATTCTAGTATTAAGTTTAATTTTAAATTTTATTATTTTAGTACAAAAATAATGCACTTAAGAACAATAAAAAGAAGTTACGTTACATTCACAAAAATAACATTTCATACAGTGGAATCACATTTTTCTTTTTTTACTTTAATTTTTGTTTGTAAAAACTCCATTTCCTCTAGAAGTAATGAATTTTCCAATTCAGCTAATTCGGCATTCACTTTCTGGAGCCGCTCTGTTAAGGGACCAACATTTTCTTTGCTGTTTTCCGATTTGATTGCCTTCTTTAAATTCTGTATTTGTAATTTAAGTTCTTTCTTCGTTTTTATTTTTTTCTTCTTCTTTTCAGTATATTGCTTCACAATAGTTGTTTCTTTGTCTCTTATTGTTTTCGCCTTTTCCCTTTCTTGTTTGTTCAATAAAATTTGTTGCCCTTTTTCTTTTTTTGCTGCTTCTTTTTGTTGCATCGCTATCAACAGGTCGTCAACAACAGCCACAGTTGGGGTATTGTTAGATGTACTTTGTTTTCTCTTTTTCGTAAACGTAGGTACAGGGAAAAATTCTTGTAGCTTAGGTGATATTTGTATATCATTTTTACTTCCACCTGAAATGAGAAAAAAAATGTAATTAAATGCATTTTCGATTAAAAAATTGAAAATGCTTTGAAAATACTCACAAGTACTTGCGTTAGATTCTTCGTTGATGCTTAGGTGACTGTTATTGTCATTTATGACATTTATAGAATTGTATTTGCTTAATACAGAAGTTCCAAACACAGGACTAGTTTTTTCTAAGGTATCAGTCTGTACAGGAGCTTTAACAGAATCATAAGAGTCTTCTTGCTCTGTATTTACAGTATTCTCAGACTCATTGGTACCTTCGGAAGTTATCGTGAAATCCAGAACCTCATCTATAAATAAGAAAGTTTTTATTAGAAAATAATTATGTATACAATATATCTTTTTACAAAAAGAAAATTTTACAAACCTTTGTTTGATATATTCAAACAATGAGAACTATTTGATTCTCTATTCGAGTCACTATTAAATTCTTCACTGTCAGTCTTATCCAAGTTATCTTTATTTTTTTCTTTTGGTACAAGTTGACTGTCAACTAGAAAGAGATATTTACTTAGTATACTTATAATTTATTATAAATAGTATTATATAATTATTATTATTACTATTATATAATTTATTATAAACAAAATTGAACAGACCTCTGGTATCTACGTTACGTGGGGAGCTGTCGCTGCTCATAGTCACATCATCAACATTTATTGCTATAACTGTGGCTGTTACACGATTGCCCAGTTCATCGTACAACTCAATTAACTCTGCTCCTGGCAATTCTGCTAGAGTATTTTGTTCGATGCTTGGAGTTATAGCATAACTCATGTCCAATGAGTTTTCATCCGCTGCGTTGATAACAAACAAGTCCAGCTGGTTGTCGGAATGACTTGAAACATCAAGCATGGTTTTATCAGTTGCTCCGGATGCGTTATTAGTTGCCCTACCAATCAAATCAGCATGTGGTATTGGTTGATCAGCTGGTAATGAATTGTCAACTGTTCGTCACTGTTCGAGCTTTATTTGAAGGTACATCATGCATTTCTATACAAATAGAAAATCAAATTAGATGTTGTATATATACATATAGATAATTAAAAAAGCTTACTCACCACTACATAATTTTTTCAGCTTAAGCCAAGATTCATATAATGCCACATATTTCACATCACCATTCCATTTGTTTTCTGATTCAGCTTGTTTGAAAGACTCTATGATTTTCGGAGAAATAACATTTTTTTCAAACATAGTTAAAAGTTCTGTATTCTTTATGATACTGTCTTGATCTGAATTGTTGGTTGAATGTAGATTAATGCTTGCGTCTTTCTTCTTACTTTTCTTGCTTAAAACATTATAGTTAACTGCATCAGCGTTGAATGGATATAAGCCACAGGCTCTAAAACCATTTTTAACAGCGTCAGTGAGATCATACGATTCCAAAGCCATTTTTTAAATTGGAGCAAACATATGTTTCTTAACATCAACAACATTATTGTCGATTCTCCATTGACGTAACACTTTTCTATAAGAATCCTTCAGTGGATGGAAGACAGCAACATCTAATGGTTGTATGATGTGTGTGGCATTTGGATAGAGCACTACTAGTTCTATAAGATGCTCTTTGCAGAACTTAAGTAGTGGTAGCGTCATATGTGAGCTATGTCCGTCTACATATAAAATGATAGGAAACACGTAATTGTTCTCTTGTAGCCATTTGTAAAATACATTACTTATATAACTGTAAAAGCTTTCACCTGTCATCCAGCCACGTTCCGTGTTTTCCACTTTCCAGCCTCTTGGTATTTGTTCCAAAACATTCTTCTTTGGCGACGTTTTCAGATCAAATAAAATCATGGAAGGTGGCATTACTCCAGAAGCAACAACAATAAATAATATTGTTAAATATAAGAGTTTTAACAAGGCTCTGTAATATAAATATAAATTTAACGTATAAGACGGGCAACAAGAGCCAAATCGCGGATGACAATGCGTTATCCTAACGAAACTAAATAATTTTTCGTTAGAATTAAATACCGGTGCACAAGGCACCAAATTTTTACTTGGACACGGCCAAGATTTTAAATATGAAATAATCTCATATTTTGAGATTTAATTTCAATACCCCTTTAACCCCCCTACGGAAAATAAATAAATGAATGCAAGAGAAAAATATAGATCCGAAAATCGCTGAATCGGGAATCGAACCCGAGACCTTTCGCTTGCCGGGCGACTGCTCTTCCAGCTGAGCTATTCAGATCCTTTCGATTCTATACTTTTCTCTGTTATATATATTAATGTTGGTAAAATGGTTATTTTCCGTAGGGGGGTTAAAGGGGTATTGAAATTAAATCTCAAAATATGAGATTATTTCATATTTAAAATCTTGGCCGTGTCCAAGTAAAAATTTGGTGCCTTGTGCACCGGTATTTAATTCTAACGAAAAATTATTTAGTTTCGTTAGGATAACGCATTGTCATCCGCGATTTGGCTCTTGTTGCCCGTCTTATACGTTAAATTTATATTTATATTACAGAGCCTTGTTAAAACTCTTATATTTGATACACGCTGGCTTAAAAAATGCGTTTGTTTACCAACATTAATATATATAACAGAGAAAAGTATAGAATCGAAAGGATCTGAATAGCTCAGCTGGAAGAGCAGTCGCCCGGCAAGCGAAAGGTCTCGGGTTCGATTCCCGATTCAGCGATTTTCGGATCTATATTTTTCTCTTGCATTCATTTATTTATTTTCCGTAGGGGGGTTAAAGGGGTATTGAAATTAAATCTCAAAATATGAGATTATTTCATATTTAAAATCTTGGCCGTGTCCAAGTAAAAATTTGGTGCCTTGTGCACCGGTATTTAATTCTAACGAAAAATTATTTAGTTTCGTTAGGATAACGCATTGTCATCCGCGATTTGGCTCTTGTTGCCCGTCTTATACGTTAAATTTATATTTATATTACAGAGCCTTGTTAAAACTCTTATATTTGATACACGCTGGCTTAAAAAATGCGTTTGTTTACCAACATTAATATATATAACAGAGAAAAGTATAGAATCGAAAGGATCTGAATAGCTCAGCTGGAAGAGCAGTCGCCCGGCAAGCGAAAGGTCTCGGGTTCGATTCCCGATTCAGCGATTTTCGGATCTATATTTTTTTCTTGCATTCATTTATTTATTTTCCGTAGGGGGGTTAAAGGGGTATTGAAATTAAATCTCAAAATATGAGATTATTTCATATTTAAAATCTTGGCCGTGTCCAAGTAAAAATTTGGTGCCTTGTGCACCGGTATTTAATTCTAACGAAAAATTATTTAGTTTCGTTAGGATAACGCATTGTCATCCGCGATTTGGCTCTTGTTGCCCGTCTTATACGTTAAAAATAATATTGTTAAATTGGCTTTCTCGTTACCGGACACTATTTGGTATGGAGCCTTAACACCTTTCTCTGTTATCACTTTATTGTCCTTAGGAACAAGCATAAACGCAGACTCGTCCAAGTTGAATACTCGGTGTGGTTCTATATGCAGCAAGTTTTTTGTGTCAAGGTATTGTTTGACTTTTGCAAACCAGTTTCGAAGGTCTACTTCAGTGACGGCTGCTCTGGTAGAAGTCAGATTTTGTGCTATTCTGGTACTCAGATTTGGATGTCTCTTCATAAAAGCTCGATACCAGTGTTGCCCAGGACGATTGTTCTTGAAAGGAGTCTTAGCTTTGTTATTATTGAAATATTTTTGTACGCAGTTAAGGAGTCTTGTTTTATTTACAGGAAAACCACTATTTGCACTGAACACTATTCAACTTGCAATTTCATTTTCTTCTTCCACACTCAGCACAGTTTTTGGTCCCTTCCTACACTCAAGTGGTGAGTTATACTTTGATTTTAAAAAAAGAGTACTCTTTGGTACTCCAAAACTGTGAGCAGCTTGGCGGAGAGTCAGCCCTTCGCCCATTGCACTGAGAGCAGCTTGAAGAGTTTCAACACTGTAATTTTTTTCACTTCTCTTCTTTTTAGCTACAGCTCTACGATACTGACCACTTGCACTTTTCTTCTTCTTCTTCTTAGCAGTCTCTTTTACAGTTTTCTCATTAATTTTCTTCCTAGCCATCCTGACTACCAAATGCTTGCCAAGTCAAGTTCTGGATTTTGAGGTAATTTGGTACGAAGATGCGAAATTTTTTTTCTTGATGTTTTTGTCAGTCCGTAAGTAAATATTAAATATTTCACAACACTAATAGTTATTAGAGAACACTTTTTGTAAACATTTTTCACTAAAAATTGTACAAACAAAATCCCGGAGAAACGTGTCTAAGTACTGCATTGATATATCAGTGCCTATGATCTGAAGTTGGACACGAGCGTTGCGTGTGTCAAACTACTACGATTATCGAACGTATACTTGGACAGCTAATTTCCAAAGAAATAATTAGTTTTGTAATATTATTATATTGGAAAAATTGTTTAGTAATATAAAAACTATCAGATAATATCACAATTTATAAATATAAATGCATCGGACTTATTGTAACAGTATAAACACAATTAACAAAAATGTTAAAATACAAAAAAAATTATGTCGCTTTTATAGAGCTTAAGGTGACATTTCAAATTGACCATTTTTATTCAATTTTTTGAAATAAGTATTAATAAAAATTATATGTTATTCAAAAAAGTGTTCGCAATACTAATCTATTTTCTTTTTCAATTGAATATTTTTTATTTTACCATAAAAGTAGGTTTTTGAGTGTTCAAGTATAGGTCTAAATTTTCATTTTGTCCAAGTATTGGGCATTTTACCTTATGACTGTGTGTTCAGATCTGACTTCAAAGTCGAATTATTTCAAACCGAGCGAACTAATTCGCTCTGTTTGACCTAAATCTCTCTTTATTTTGATACACATCTTAGCGCTGGGACAATTAGTTCCCGTGCATTACACGTAATGTGCCCATGTAAATGATTATCCGCTCGGCTCCGTTTCCCGTCAACAACATTCCGATTCTCGAAAATAATCGCGCGTAAGTCAGTCGAAGAGAGGCAATCAAAACGTGCGTGTCGTTAATCAGCATCGTCCTGTTAATTCGATAGCAACGTATCTCTTTTCGAATTATACCTCTACGACGTCCACGTCTCTTTCAACGCGCTTTTCGTGTGATCCACGTCAGTGCAGCTAATAAAATACTATTGAATTAAAAGTGAGTGCATTCGTTCTTGACTAACAACGATACTATCCCTTCGTCTCCGTTTTACAATAATTTCAGTCAATCGACCGGCGTATTAAAATAATATTAAATATGTTTCCACGTCTTTAAGAGAAAGTGCGCGAACATATTTTTGGTCTTTCGAGCCGGATGATTTTTAGAAAATTAAAATCAGTGGAACAGTTAGTATCGTTTACGTGTCAAGGACATATTCTGTTTTGCTACTCGATTTGAAGAAAGAGTGAAGATATACGCAAACCAAGTGATCTATCTCAGCTTGGAGAATTGTAACATTGGTGCTTGTCAGACAAAGAGTGAGTGACCAGTGCTCGAACCCTTTCGCGATTCCATAACAATACGCAGAGCCAAGCTGGAGAATGCTATACGTTAGCTATATCGCTCGCGCATTCAACGACGAGTCTCTCTCTCTCGCACACGTGCCCCGTGAGTGACGCATACGCTCGTATAGCGCGAACGATTTCGCGAACGCGCTTACTGATACTGCGGGCTCATTGTCGTTGCGTTAAACCGTCTCGGACGCTCAAGTCACCTGTAACACTTATTCGACGTTCACGAAAACACTGACATGGCTTCTGTCGACGATTTACTGATTGAGCAACGCGCAACCATCGATCAATGTCGGAGAATTCTGCCGAATTATCGAAAGCTGGGCAAAGAGAAATTCTCGGCCAGCAAGACTCGCACGCGCATTCAGAATCTACAAACGTCATGGAACGCGTGCAGATCGCTAGATGTGCAACTCCGCCAAGAAGCAAGCGACTCTCAACGCAAACACGCTTATTTCCTCGACGAGGAATTTCTCAACGCGGAAGCAGATTACGAGGATGCCTTGGATCAGCTCACAGACATCCTGGATCAACAGGAGAAGAAGGTTCAGCCGAACTTGACTCCCGGGGGAACATTCTACGATGCTGGGCGAGATACAAGGACCATCCACGTTCGCACTCCCACGCATCACTATTCCAAAATTTAACGGCGAGCCGACGAAGTGGGAAAGCTTTAGAGATTCTTTCAAGGCATTGGTCGGTGAAAATACTGCGTTAACTGCGGGACAAAAACTGTATTATTTAAAGTCCTTTCTCGAGGACAATGCCGCGCTTATGATCGAGCATGTACCTGTTTCCGACGCAAATTATGAAGGTGCTTGGGCACTACTCGCAGACGAGTATGATAATCCGAGTGCGTTAATTTTGGTGCACATTCACGCTTTTGCTAATCTACCCGCGATGAAAACCGAGCAAAAAGCCGAACTCAAACGATTGCGCGATACAGTTAATTCATCACTAGCTGCCTTGCGAAATTTGCATCGTCCGGTAGATCAATGGGACAATCTATTAGTCTATATAATTTCACAAAAATTCAGTTCGCGGACAAGAACTGAATGGAACTTGAATCTTGGTGCATCAAAAACGATCTTCCATTGTTTCAAACACTCAAAGACTTCTTGACGGAAAGAATCCGCGGAATCGCCGCTCCAGTTTCGATTGAGAAACTCGACGCATCTCACGCGACCGCAACAATTAAAACGAAAATTAAAGCCTCCGTACACAACGCTGCACCTCGGCAGTGTCCTGACTGTTCGGGAAATCACAATCTCGCTTTCTGCCCAGTATGGCCCAAGAAACCGATAGATAATCGCTTCGCGCTCGCGAGGCACAGACATCTCTGTTTTAACTGTCTGAAACCCGGTCACGTTCCGAAACAATGCCCTAGCGTAAATCGTTGTAAAAGATGTCAGAGGCCGCATCATTCGACGCTGCATCGGATGTCGACCGGCAGCTCTGACACTGTCGGTACTACGCCTAATAATCAAACTGTCGACGGTTTGAGTAACGCAGCGAGCGTCAATCTGCTTTCGTCGAAATCGTCTCCGTATCGCGCGCCAGCAGGTACCGTATCAGAGCGTAAGGAAGTATCCGTTAAACGAGCGCCAAGTCAAACAAAGCCGACACCCTTCGCTCCCGTGTTGCTCGCTACCGCTTGGGTAAGACTACAAACGTCGGAGGATCGAGTTGTGAAAGCGCAAGCATTAATTGATCAAGGCTCATCGCACAGTTTTATTACGAGTCTCTTGCTCAAAATTTACGCACTCCACGCCGTCGAGCCGATCTCGACATAACGGTGTTTGGAAGCGGACACGCAGCGCGCGCTACGTCATTTGTTAATCTCACGCTCGAATCGTGCATCGGAGAAAACGCGTTTCCGCTGAGATTGACCGCGTATGTATTTAAAAATTTGACGAATTATGCTGCAACCTCGTCGCACGGCATTCAATCATGGTCACATTTACAGGGATTAGCGCTCGCAGATCCCGATCCCTCCAGCAAGAAGTCAATTAACGTTTTGATCGGAGCTGATCTATACGATCAACTATTAATCGGGCCCATTAAAAAGAGGCCGCTCGGGTCACCCACAGCCCAACTTACCACGTTGGGGTGGATTATATCGGGTCCTACCGACGACCCTCGCGAACCGCGAGCAGAACGCACATCCGCGATTCACTATGCGATCGCGCAAAATACGGATGCATTGATTCGCAAATTCTGGGAAATTGAGGAAGTCCCCACGCAAAGATTCCTCACTCAGGATGAGGAAGAGTGCGAACGCCACTTCGTGGAGACCCATACACGCGACACTACAGGGCGTTACATTGTACGCTTACCGCTTCGTCACAGATCGCCTCTCGAGATTGGTGACAGTCACCAAATCGCGCTGTCTTGGTATGCTCAGCAGGAACAACGTTTAAAAAGAAAACCGGAACTCGCGCGCGCCTATTCCGAGTTTTTAAACAAATATGAGTCTCTGAAGCATATGGAAAGAGTTAACAGTAGTCAAACGATAAAATCACCGATATACATACCGCATCATCCAGTAGTTAAGGAAAATAGCACAACTACCCGCGTGCGTGTAGTTTTTAACGCGTCGAGCGCGACGTCAAATGGTACGTCGCTGAACGACCATTTGTTAGTCGGTCCGAAGTTGCAGCGCGAGATAGGCTATGTTCTCTCAAACTGGCGTCGACATTGCGTAGTCTACATGGCGGATATCGAGAAAATGTTCCGTCAAATTCTAGTGCATCGAATAGACAACGATTATCAGCGAATCGTTTGGCGACCGAAACCGGATGGCCCAATAGTCAGCTATCGTCTTTTCACCGTTACATACGGTACGACATGCGCACCTTATCTCGCAAATCGCGTGCTTTTACAATTAGCCGAGGATGAAGGCAATTCACTTCCCGACGCCGCCGACATAATACGCTACGCGACATACGTCGATGATGTCTTATTCGGCGCGGACACTCACGATAAGGTGCGTAATATCCGTGCTCAACTCGTCACACTACTAAAACGCGGCGGGTTCACGTTACGCAAGTGGGCGGCGAACGATGCTGCCCTCTTATCTGACATCCCCGCAGTCGGCCACGATCTCGCGATCGATCTATCTAAAGAGGACTCAGCGGTATTAAAGGTGCTTGGAATCGTTTGGATTCCCAAGGAAGACGCGTTTAGCTTCCAAGTGAACGAAGTACCAAAGGCTCGCAGTACTAAGCGTAACATCCTCTCGCTAATCGCTCGATTATTTGACCTCCTCGGATGGGCCTCTCCTGTTGCCATACAAGCCAAGATGCTTATACAGGATTTGTGGCTTGCAAAAATTGACTGGGACGATGAAGTCCCTCCGCAGATGCTCGAGACTTGGGAGACCTATTGTCGCGAACTCCCCAAACTCGCAAATTTAAGAATTTCGCGCTGGATTGGCTTCACCCAATCTCAGAGCGCGATTGAGCTGCATGGCTTCGCAGACGCTTCGCTCCGCGCGTACTCCGCAGTCGTCTATATGCGCATCTTAAACTCTCCGACCGACTTTTCGGTATCGTTGATAGCGGCGAAATCTAAAGTCGCTCTACTGAAAACCGTCGCGATCCCGCGCCTCGAGTTAAACGGCGTCGTATTATTAGTACGTCTCCTTGAATACGTCAAGCAAACATTCAATTTTATTCAGCGACAGTGTACGGCTGGACCAACTCCACCGTCGCACTCGCGTGGCTCACCCAACATCCGTCGCGTTGGAAGCCTTATGTCGCTAATCGAGTTTCCGAGATCCAAGTAAAAATGCCGGAAATAAAGTGGCGTCATATACCCACGCGCGAGAATCTCGCCGACTGCGCGTCGCGGGGAATTCTAGTCGAAGAATTAATCAACCATCAACTTTGGTGGTCGGGTCCCTCGTGGCTAAGTCAAAGTTCAATTTTCTGGCCAAATCCTCGACCGATAGATTCGCCAGAACGTCACATCGATGACACGGCCGTGCTTACAAAACAACGATCGTCCGCGAAGATGCACGTTGCGAAAGATGACGAGATGTGGCAGATTCTTGTTCAATTTTCATCCTGGGGTAAGTTACTCCGAGTTACTGCCTTCTTATTTCATTGGTTGAGTAAATACCGTGCTCGCCGACGTGACAATAAGATTCCGTCAAATTTACATTTCGCCGACCGGATTCAGGAGGCTCGCGATTTTTGGATACGACAAGTCCAGAGGGATCGTTTCGCCGTCGAAATACGAACGCTACAAGCAAATGAGCCACTTCCGCGATCGAGCTCACTAAAATCGCTCAATCCGTTTCTCGATGGAAAGGACCAGTTGCGTCTTGGCGGGCGGTTACGACATTCATTTATTTCATACAACGAACGCTTTCCGTTAATTCTACCGCGCCATCATATCAGCGAGCTAATAATCGATCAAGCTCATTTACGATCGCTTTACGGAGGCCTTCAGTTAACCCTCCGAATTCTACGCCAGAATTATTGGATTCTTGGTGCGAGATCGCTCGTCAAATCTAGATTAAATCAATGCATCACCTGTGTTCGCGAACGCGCCATTACAGCCAGTCAACCGATGGGAGACCTACCGTCTCCTCGAGTCAATCCGTCTCCGCCTTTTTCACACTGCGGAGTGGACTACGCTGGTCCCTTTCCAGTGATCTCTTACGTGAGACGAGATCAGAGATCACGGAAATACTACGTCACGCTGTTCATCTGTCTCGCGACGCGCGCGATCCATCTCGAATACGTCGACGATTACGCTACTTCCGGATTCGTCGCGGCCTTTAAACGTTTCGACGCGGTCTGTCGTCGGACGTCTATAACGACAACGGGACGAATTTCCAAGGTGCCGATAATGAACTTCGTCGCGCCTTTATCGCCACTATGAAGAATACGGAACTGCGAGAGAGTTTCGCCACCGACGGAATACGCTGGCACTTCATTCCTGCTTCCGCGCCCCATTTTGGCGGCCTATGGGAAACGGGCGTGAAGAGCTTTAAATTTCATATGAAACGCGTAGTCGGTTTACACACTCTCCCAGATCGAGCTCTCGACACTACTGTGTGAGATCGAGGCTTGCTTGAACTCGCGTCCTCTCGCTCTTCTTCGCGATGATCATGATAATTTCGACGTGTTAACCCCGGGTCATTTTTGATTGGTAGACCACTACTCAGCGTTCCCAAGCCATTGCTACTCGAGGTTAGCGAAAATCGCTTATCTCGATGGCAAAGAGTCCAGGCGATGCTCGAAAACATTTGGAAGGCATGGGCGTGCGACTACTTGCATATGTTGCAGCAGCGCTCCAAATGGCAAAGATCGTCGCATGATATTAAGATCGGAGCTCTAGTTCTTCTAAAGAACGAACTCCTTCCCCCTTTGCGATGGGAGCTCGCTAGAGTGGTTGAACTACATCCGGGCCCCGACGGCCTCGTACGTGTCGTAACTGTGCGAACAGCGAAAACGAACCTCAAGCGCCCGATTACGAAAGTCTGCCCTCTTCCGTGCTCCGCAGCTACAGAATGTACTTAAACTCAAATTCGTATGAACGCTTCTCAACTCTGATAAGAGGACGCAAGCCTGTCTAGACTTATCTCCAAAGGCGGGTATTTTTGATAGCAGTATTAATATAAGTTCGTTGCATCATGTCGGGATTGTTCCTTGTAATTAGTATAAGTTCGTTTCATCATGTCGGTATTCAACTTGTAAATAGTATGTAAGTCTTCAAATTGTCGGGTGAAATCTGTAAAAGTCAGGATCACACGATAGGCATTAATGAAAACTTGAGTAAAGTAATTCCTTTCGTCCCATCCGGGACGAGGCGAGCGGCATGTTCAGATCTGACTTCAAAGTCGAATTATTTCAAACCGAGCGAACTAATTCGCTCTGTTTGACCTAAATCTCTCTTTATTTTGATACACATCTTAGCGCTGGGACGATTAGTTCCCGTGCATTACACGTAATGTGCCCATGTAAATGATTATCCGCTCGGCTCCGTTTCCCGTCAACAACATTCCGATTCTCGAAAATAATCGCGCGTAAGTCAGTCGAAGAGAGGCAATCAAAACATGCGTGTCGTTAGTCAGCATCGTCCTGTTAATTCGATAGCAACGTATCTCTTTTCAAGTTATACCTCTACGACGTCCACGTCTCTTTCAACGCGCTTTTCGTGTGATCCACGTCAGTGCAGCTAATAAAATACTATTGAATTAAAAGTGAGTGCATTCGTTCTTGACTAACAACGATAGTATCCCTTCGTCTCCGTTTTACAATAATTTCAGTCAATCGACCGGCGTATTAAAATAATATTAAATATGTTTCCACGTCTTTAAGAGGAAGTGCGCGAACACTATGGGATATCGTGGTATTAATAAACTCAATTGCTTTATTAAGGTTCATAAAGATAGAAACCAACATGTCTCGAATTCTAATGTTATTTATAAAGTCATGTGCACTGATTATGATGCTTCATATGTTGGGCAAACGAAAAGAAAGTTGAGCACTAGAATTAGGGAACATGTTGTAACGGCGCAGCCGTTACTAACGCCTCGCGGGCTGATCAGCCGCCCGCCACATGAGGCTTTGGCGCCTAAAGGCGCCCCTAATCGTTCCACACGAGCCGCCCCACCCCGGGGGCGCCCCACCGCGACTCCGGCGCGGTACCCCCGCCTCGGACTCGACGCGGAGTGGGGGACCGCCGGACGGGTATATAAGCCGGCTCGGCGGATGAGCCGGCACCAGTCCCGTCCCAAATCTCCCAGACCAGGCAACGGGCTTCTCGTTGTGAAAGTGCCGGGTTTCTCGGTCGCTGGTTCCTACCGTTAGTATCGGGCAACAGGTTTCTCGTTGTAACACCGGGTTTCCCGGTTTCCGGTCTCCTCCTGTGATACGCCGGGCGACGGGCTTCTCGTCGTTACACTGGGTTTCCCAGTTTCCGGTCTCCTCCTGTGATACGCCGGGCGACGGGCTTCTCGTCGTTACACTGGGTTTCCCAGTTTCCGGTCCATCCTGCTATCCACCGGGCGACGGGTTTCTCGTCGTTACACTGGGTTTCCCGGTTTCCGGTTCACCCTGCTAACATCCGAGCGACGGGCTTCTCGTCGTTATACTGGGTTTCCCGGTTTCCGGACATCATTATAAGGCTATATGCCGCCGTACGTTGGCTCTACAGCTTCCCGTTTTGAATAAAGGCATTACGCCCCGTACCTTGTAGCTGCAATCGTCGTATACCGGGTAACCTGTAAGTCCCATCTGGACACCGCTATAGGCTATGCGTCTCCGTCTGCTGTATCTCTAGCATCGTATACCAAGAGACTTGTAAGTCCCTTCCGGACTCCGTTATAGGCTATACGCCTCCGAGCTTGTAAATATACCGGACGCTCCGTTCGATCCTCACGCTTTGTACATATACCGGGTAGCTCTTAAGTTCTTTGTTCAGGCTTCACGCCACCGGACGCTCCGTGCGATCACCGTTCACTTTGTATACCAGCGATCCGCTAAACCCATAGGGTGACCTGTACCCTTCTATCAAACATTCTTTTCGTTGTTCTTTTCATTTGAATAAACCAACTATTTTTATATTAAGGAATAAGCGAGTTTGAGTTTCCCTCCCCCCTTCCTCCCGAATCCTGGAACCGGCGAGCCGATCCGCGGCGTCGGGAAAGGTGAACCGTTACAATGTCAATAATATTAGAGCGGACTTATCCAGACTCTCGGTTATTTCTGAACATATAATGAAAAAAACATCATTTTTTTGCATGAGATGAAGTAAAAATTTTGGATTTTGAACCTAATTTTTATAAAAAAACAATTTCAGAAATGTTACATATAAAAGAACAAAAAAACGGTTTAAACCTAATGAAGGATACGGAGCTTCTTGATGAGTCATACTTTGATATTCTAGAAGAAATAGCTAACAGACAAACAAATATATAGTATAAACATACATTTTTGTCATTGCTCTTTTATTGTATTGTTTTTCTAACTATCGATCGGATCTTGTGAGATTGCTTTGACAACGTTTTGATATTTCCTTCATGATGGTGAGCATTTTTAAATTTAAGATTAATTCAGCAACCAAAGACATTAGATTAATAAAATTTTCTTTTTTTTTACATAAATAGTTTATTCTTGACTAATAAATTCGTCGGTTGACAACGACTGAATTTAGCAACATTGATTTTTTGACTTAAGAGAATTTTTAAATCTTGACGGAATTATTACATCTCTACTTTGAATGATGGACATGTTAGTTGAGCTTGTCATTGCAATTTGAGATCTGCGTTTGTCATTATGTTTGACTGATTTATTTTGTTTTAATACTTTCTATGTGAGCGCCGCAATTTTGTTAACTTAATACAAGCGCCTGTCAACACCGCTGTAAAAGTTATCTTAAGAAATTCTTTTTTGATCTATTATATTGAGATAATTAAGTACATTATAAATTTTGAACTTTTCTGATGAAGGCTGAGGTTACAGTCAAAACGTTATAACTTTTAGTTTATATTTCTTTCTGAATTTTAATGCTTTGTATTATATTTTTAATTTATTTAATTTATTTTATTAATTTTATATTTATGTGTTAATAAATATCTAAGCATGTTCTAAATTGTATATTGTAATTTCTTGCTTGTTACGCTGGCCCATATCTTTACGTATATTTTTTTAGTTTAAGAATGATACTTATATATCCCACGACTGCTCCGGAACAGATTCGGGGGGTGTTGTTTCAGCTCTGATGTTTCGGAGGATGAATCAGATAACGTGTCAGGTGTCGAATTAGTCAATATTTCATATGGCCATCCATTTCTATTGTCTTTACCATAACCTTTATTTCTCCAATGCACATAATTAAGTCCGCGATGTAAGCAATGTTCATAACACATTGCCCGACTATGCCTAAATAATTTAGAAAATAAACAATATTCATTACACATGCGCGCTTTTTTTACATAATAATTACGAGCTCTTTGAAAATAATGCAAAGGTTTTGCATGAGGTCTCCTTATCCCAAGTTCACGATTTCGCAGAAACTGTACTACTGAAGTTATAGAGTACGATTTCACAGTCTTAATTGTATGATGCGGTGCAGCATCTCTCATTCTATCAACATTATAATTATTGGAATTATTATAATTATTGGAAACATTATAATTATTATTATTATTAGTAAGATGTAGATACCATTTTTCAAGCTTATATATGTAGCATCCTTGACGACATGATTATAGTTTAGTATATGCAATAGAGGCACACACGGCACGATTTAAGGAGCATCCGCAGTAAGAACAAATACTCCCTTCTATTAGAGCATATCTCGCATGCTTTCGCACAGGACGAGCACTTGAATACAAGTTTGCTACGCGTAGGAAGCACGTCAAACAGAATTTAGCACCATACTTATTTTTATTAATTTCTTTAATTTCTTATTTTATTTCTCTTGTTCTAACTAGAGCATTATGTCATAGCAAGCTCATCATTTCTTTACAGAGCACATTCAAAGAGGCAATTTTGTTAACTATGCATATCAGACAGGAGAAAGAAATAATTTAACACAGGTTAACAGTAAAATAATTGATTTGTTAGAAGCATTATACAGAATATCATTTATAGCACAGCTATCAATTCACAATCTACAAGTGATTTGTTGTCGAACATATTGCTTCCACATATCACCTTTGCGGCATTGCTTGCATCATAAATATTATTTTGTTGTAAAATATTTAAAAATTGTTTAAATTTTTTTGTAACATTATGTATATTTTATATAACCAGGAATACATATGATCAATACATTTTTCAAAATCGAATAAATGTAATAAAGTTGATGGCATTATGTACAAAGAATTATCTGACGATGTAATTTTTATAATTTTTGAAGTAGACGTGTTA